AACTATAGGTTATGCGAGAGAAATGTTTTAGAATATGATTTTAATTTTATAATAAATAATTAAGTGTTAATTATTTATTTGATTTATATATATATATTTATTAATTAATTATTAATTGGATTAATAATTAATTATATTTATTAATTAATATGATTACTTAATAAATTAATATATATAATATTAATTATTATATATATATTAATTATTATTATTAATTAATATATAAATTAATAATTAACTCCCCTGCAAAATTGCATGGGAGTGGGTAGTTAAGTGACGTGGGGTAACTCCCCACGTCACTGGTTTTTGTTCTTCTTCCTTTGCAGTTTTGCAAAACAAAAGGGTTATAGAACAGAAAAAAGGTACTGCCAATTCTCTCTCAAGATCACTCTCTCAAACTCTCCCTCTTATTCCAAACAAGGTGCTCCCGCAAGCACGGTTCTCGAAACCCAAGAGGATAGCAAGGAAGACTTTTTGGTGGTGTTCGTTGGGAAAAAGTTGAAGAAACGTTCTTCAAAGGTAATGGTTTCCCCTGTATTTTCCTTCTTTCAATTTTTTGGTTTTGTATCCCGAAAATCAGCAACGAAGATCCGCTTCCGCTCCGAGATTCACATCTCTTCATCAACTTCATATTGTATTTTCTCAGGACCCCAAATGCCTCTGCTAAGTCTGCCTCGTGTTGATTGCCTATTTAGCTTATTACCAACATATCATCCACGTAGACCTCCATATTTTTACCAATTAATGCTGCAAACATTCGATTTTCCATTCGTTGATAGGTTGCACCGGCGTTCTTTAATCCGAACGACATTATCGTGTAATAATACAAGCCTCGGCTTGTGACGAAAGATGTCTTCCTTAATATGGCAGGTGCATCTTAATTTGATTGTATCCAGAGTAGGAATCCATGAAACTTAGCCTTTCATGTCCAGCGGTAGCGTCGACCAGTTGATTTATTCGAGGTAAAGGAAAAGAATCCTTAGGGCAAGCCTTATTTAGGTCTGTAAAATCGATGCACATTCTCCATTTGCCATTAGGCTTCTTTACTAGCACCACGTTGGATATCTATTGGGGGTAATGCACCTCCCGAATGAAACCTGCTTTTAGTTGCTCATCTATCTGTTCAGCTACAATCTCGTTCATTTCTTGGTTGAAGGCACGACGCTTCAGTTTTACTGGTTTACAGTATTTGTCGACGTTGAGTCGGTGTACCATGACTTCCCTATTGATTCCTGGCATGTCCTCATGCGTCCACGCGAATACATTGGTGTTGTTTCTAAGGAAATTTATAAGGCTCATCTTTTCTTCACTCCCCAACTTGGTCCCAATGTTGACTCGTTGATCCTCGGATGTCAAAGGGATAGACTCCACCTTCTCAGTCGGTTCTCCCCCTTTGAGGACATATATCTCATGAGTGGTCGATTGCCTCGTTCAGGCTCTTCTCTTCGAAACATTGTTGACCCCCACCAGAGTTCATATCAACTTGCTCTATCCCAATCTTATGGGATATGGGCTTGTCTCAGCTGAGCTCCCTTCGAATTGTATCGTCCCCACAGACGGAGCCAATTGTTGACCCATAGATTTTGGTTCCTTGGTTCTTGCCAAAAAGCGTACCAAACTCGATGATCACAGGACCGGATACCTGCAAAACCGAGTAACCCTAAACTGGTGTGACTTCAGTCACATGTGCTTCGATGCTTAAGTCAGCAATGAGAGAATTCCTAAGTGAAGTGATTAGGGCGTTTTTTGCTTACTTTTAGCGGGTGATCCCTTCTTCTATTTATGGTTGATCTTCTTCTCTAGGATATCTTGGATTCAAACCTTAGGTCATCTCAGGATAGTCGGATTTCCCAGGTCTTTTGCATGTTGTGGGTTCCTATATCGTTTTTGGGCCCAGGTGATAGTGCAAGTCCATTGGCATGGGAACCGGGAGAGAGGTCGAGATATCTTCTCGACCTGTGGTCCAGAAGGTCTCTGCACTGAGGTGGGGTCCAATCTCCCTTCCCACTTGGATCGTTTTGCTTCCTATAACACATACTAAACTCAAGCGAAGTTCATCACTTTTATTAACTTCGCTGAAGTTTTGTACAAATTGTTTAAATCCCAGTTAAGAACCTTGCCCGAATTTTGTACCTAGGAATTGAACAATAGGTGTCAAACTCGAACGAAGTTCTTAAAAATTAGGAACTTCGCTTGAGTTTGGTACAATCTGTTCGATTCCTCAGACATAATCTCACCCGTAGATTATTGTACCAAGGAATTGAACCATAGGTACGAAACTTGAACGAATTTCCTCACGTTTAATTTAAGTTTTGTTTTAATTTTAAAAAAGAATCTTCCTCTACAGATATTTAAAAGGAGGAAATAAAAAGAGATAATTTAAAGAGAATCATTTTAGAAGGAAAGTTACTTTTAAATAAAATCTTATCTTTTTAAAATTTCAAATATTTACAAAGTGGCATGACTTGAATAAAAGAAAGTTTAAAGAGTAAAGTTTTTATCCCTAACTGATGACATAGTTGATAGACTTGTTTATATTCTCCTTCATTGTTAGACTAAGTGCTTTAATATGGCTGGCAAATTGAGACTTGATCATAGTAGTAAAATGATTAAATGTAAAAGTGTGTCATTCTTTCACTTCAAATGATAAATCCATACAAATCGGCTATAGTCTTCAAGAAAGTGAACATATTATGTATACCGATCAAATGACATAACAGGTGCAAGTTCCCATATACCAGCATGCACGAACATAAATGAAGCATTAGCTTGTGAACTAAACAGAGGGAAAGACAGGACATGAGATTTACCATATTTGCATGTTTCACAAAAGTTGACATTATCATGAACTTTCATTGGCAGATTACAATGTTTAACTAAATTTCTACAAACTTGAGAAGACGGATGTCCAAGTCGACAATGACAAGTGTCCTTGGCTACCACAACATTTATACTATTAGATAATTTGGGAAGAGACAAAGAACAAATAGTTTTATTAGCAGCCGACTCCAGGCCACAGTCAACTGGACTCGAAGTACTCCTAATGGCTGCTCCAACTGTATTGAGGCGATAAAGCTCATCTCTAAGATCTCCTATAAGTACCACCTTGCCCGAACGTATATCCTTTGCAAGACAAGAATTAGCATGAAATTCAAGGTATATGTTATTGTTTTTAGTGAGTTTGGACACACTAACTAGATTTTTAGCTATGTTAGGTACGCAAAGCACATTTTCAAGCATGATCAAGACATATCGTCAAAAACTAAACATGATTTACCAACATGAGATTTTTTAATTTATCGCAATTACCTACTGTAACTCTCTCCATACATCTATGTTTAGTAGGTTGAACCATACTGTTGTAGTCTTCGGTGATGTGACTTGAAACACCACTATCCACATACCAATTTGGGTCTACTACTGTTTCTGGATTGGCCAAAAAATGATTGTTATTCTGAGTTGCTGTGAATGCATAAGACGTACCTTGTCCAATGTTGTTGTTTGTTAACCCCCTAATTGGAGTCGTCGTTGAAGTTTTTACTCTGATTTTGTGTATTGTTCATGTACTCCTTATTATATCGTCCTTTGGATTGGATTTCTAGCTTACTCAAGTACCACATATACACAATCGCTCAATTTTATTTAGAGGATCATCAAAGTTAAATGGGAGAATAGAATCAAAGCAAATAAAGATGCAATAATAAAGATAGAATCAAAAGGAAGAAAGGTCCTAAGGAATTGATTTCCCCTATGTAGTCTATGAACCAATTAATTATTTACCCAACAATGAATGAACTATTAATTCTATAGACTAAGAACTCTCAAATCTTAACTGACTCTGCAAGCTAATTCTCCTTACTAATTAAAAAACCAATATTCCTATCTAGTTTCTATAATAAGTAAAGACTTTATTGAATAAGTCTTTTAATGACCTCTAAATGACTTCTAAACCACCTCTCCTGAACGTACACTTTCAAGTCTAATATCAATCAATCTATAGTGAGTAGATTAAAGACATTAAGCATAAAGATACATAAATAGAACATTCATAATTAGTCAATCAAGAGAATTAAACAATCAATCCATAAAGTTCAATGGCTAAATTAATACCTAAGACAAAGGAACTTAGCTATGTGTATTCAATGTAAAACAACAAAGTCTCAGAGAAAGTTATATAACCAACTACAAAAGTCAAGGGAAAAGAAATAAATCAAATTCATTGTGTTAATTGGTCATCCATGACTCAATCTTCACGATCCCGAGCCTTGAAAATCCCTTCTCTAAGCTCCATAATGCTCATTCTCCCTCTATTCTTGAGTTATTTCATGTCAACCAAAAGCATCTAAACAGTCCCAAATGACAGCTGAAAAACCTAATTTGAAAAGGGAAATAGTTGCAATAACATCACAGCGCTGCACATATAAAAGTTGATGGAAAAAAAAGTTTGGAGCACAGCAGCGTTGTGGTTCGTGCCTAGGCGCCAGCCTCTTGGGCAAAAGTTTCATCTTTGCTCTTTATTTGCTGTAAGTGCTGTGCCTTGTTTTTGGGTGCCTAATGCTTCTCTTAGATATTTGAGCTCCAATAAGTATTGTAATGTCTTCCTTACTCGCTTAGGCTATGATTTTTATCTCAATTTGATCCATTTATGCCCTGTTTCCTATCAATTATTTATTCCTACAAAATATATCTTATGAAATGACCCTCATATAGTGCACTATCAACATGCGTTTGATAGATTTATGTTTTGAAATATGTTTTCAAATTCTGTGATCTAAACAGTAAAAATTTTGAATCATTTTTATGTTTTCAGTATTTTTTAGATTTTGAATTTGAAACTTTAAAATGGAGAATTATATTAAAAAAATAAAATAGGAAAATTTTGATAAACATATTATTTCAAGTTATAAACTCATTTCATTTTTGTTAAAATTAAAACATGTAAAATACGATATATTATAAATTATATAATATTGTAAAATAATAATTACACAAAATTTATAACAAAAATGTTAATAAATTAATTAATATTATTTTAGACTGAACTTTTCGTTTTTAATCAGGATCGAACTAAATGTCTATAGGTAGCTACCACTAGTTTACAAATATATTACTAAGCATACCTTAACATTTTAAATTAAGATTCAATTTCAAATATGCTACCAAACACATATCTGAAAATATCGAAAACAAAGAATAAAATTTTGGTTTTTATGGAACCCCTTATTTTTAGATTTATATTTTTAGACTGTCAAACAAATAATTAGGGTGCGTTTGGTTGGTAATCGAAAAACAGAAATTTGAGAACAATGGATTCAATGAAAACCAGAGTTGTATTTTTGTTTTCAGTGTTTTCAGATACGTGCTTGGTAGAAAATTTGATAATTGAATATATCAATTTAAAAAATTGTTTTTGTTTAGCAATATACTTGTAAACTATAAATAGTTACAAACTAAATTTTAGTTTAATCTAAACTTATATTAATTAATTTATTAACATTTTTTTATGAATTTGTGTAATTATTATTTTACAAGGTTATATAATTTAGAATATATTATATTTTACATGTTTTAATGAGCATAAAATGAGTTTGTAGTATGAAGTAATATATTTTATCAAAGTTTTTATCTTATTATGTAATTTTGCATTTTAAAAATTTCAAATTCTGAATTTGAAAACACTAGAAACATAAAAAAGTCATTTTTAGAATTTCTACTATTTGGATCACATAATTCGTAAATAGTTTTAAAAAACGAATTTAAAAAATTATGACAAACGCCTATTCGCTGAATCCATTTAATTCTATAAATCTGAAAACAAAAAAACACAATCCGAATTTCTAACCAAACGAGGCCTTAAATACCCATCTAATTCAAGATTTAAACAAACAACTCAAAATAACTTTAGATTAGAGTGAAACAAAAATTTAGAAAAAAATATTGATAGGTTCATGAGTTTAGCTCAACCATAATTGACACTTATTTTTAAGTAACGAGATTATAAATTCGAATCTTGGGCAGTTCTACGTAAAAGAGAAAAAAAAAGAAAGAAAAAAACTGCAGCTTAAACGACGTCGTTACATTCCGCGCCCTTTTATTTCATAATATTATTTATCTACAGCGAAATACTGATGCCCTAAACTTGCAAATCTGAAGCACCGCCGTCTGTTTCTCCATCGAATTTCATCTTTGAGCCCTAATTTCTTCTTCTTCTTCTTCTTCTTCTTCTGCCGCCGATTGGATTCACATTCGCACACCACTTTCAAATCTCGGTCAAGCATATTTGTATAATTACTGCGCTTCTTGTTCTGATCTGTTCCCGCTTCAACATTTTCAGGTAATTTCCCCAAATTTAACTTGTAATTCTGTACGCCATGCCATGTTCGGTTGATCGAGTCGAGGTTTTTGTTATGGTGGCCGTGTACTTCGTCTAATTCAGCTGCCTTGAGAACTTGTCATATGGTTAACTCTTGTTTACTTGTGCACAGCTACAGCGAGATTCTTGGACATTTGTTACTGTACAAATTATGAGGGGTAGGAGTTATACTCCATCGCCGCCAAGGGGTTATGGGAGAAGGGGACGGAGCCCTAGCCCTAGGGGGCGCTATGGTGGACGTGGAAGGGACAGGGACCTTCCCACTAGCCTTCTAGTTCGTAATCTTCGCCATGACTGCAGGTTTGTTTTTGTCGAGTTTGTTGGTATATAGTTATGCTTTCGTTTTTGTTTCTTTTTGCCCTCGATTTTCTTTCTGCTTAGTAGGATCAATTTTCTTCCTCTAGAAAGTCTGGAAGAGGAATATGGATCATTTCATTTTAGTTTGATAGGAGATAGATCTGTGTATTAGAGAAAACAATCATGTACAGAAGGGGGGAATAATGAATCGCATTGTCCAAAGAGCTAAGGGAGTTAAAAAAGGATTTCTCTCTAAAGTGTTGAGAAATTAGAACAGTGATGAATATTCCTATTTCAAAGGGTTCTGAAAGAGAATGTGTAGTCTATTTCTTTGTAGCCTACAATGTGCCCTCAAGGCCGCTCACTTCACTTTTGAGGCAAGGAACGCACCCTCCCTAAGGCTATTTTATTTGAATTTTTCTGTTCCGCACTTTGCAAAATAGTTTTTTCCCCCATACTTAGCAGTGTTAGCCGTGGAAAGTTGTTACGCCTAAGCATGCCTCTCGCCCTCTGAAAAACACTTTTCTGGCCCCCAATACAGTGTGTATATTCCACCACATTGGGTTGGCTTATTTCCTAAGATAAAATTCGAATTATAGAAATTCAGTAGACTTTCTTTCATTTTTCACCTCCCTTGCAGGGCATCAATTCTGACCTGCATCCATGAAATGGTAGGAGTTGTTGGTGTCTGAATATTAAAGAATTTAATACAGTGATATGTTCTGTTCTGATTTGCAAGTTGCTTTGTCTCTGTGTGATTTGCAATTAGGAATAAATTTCTGTATCTACTCTACTGGTATTTTTCTTTACTGCATACTGTTTTTTTTTAGGAAACACATTTACTGCATATTGTTATATTTCCTAGCCTGCTGATCAATTATATTCCAAGTGTTTATTAATCAATTCTCAGTAAGAAGGTGATGAAACCTGGTCTACCACTTATTTATTTCTTTTGATACAGGCCCGAGGATCTTCGTAGACAATTTGGACAGTTTGGTGCTATTAAGGACATATACCTTCCGAAGGATTATTATACTGGGTGAGCATGTCTGAGCTGTATGTTGGATTTGCGGATTCTTTGGTGCTAGTGTTAGTTTTTTTATTAGCAAGATGCAATTTTATTGTTTGCGCATACGGTTTTTGAAGTAACTGTTTAAACCTTACCCTATGTTTTTAGTTTCTGATAAATGTTTGATATACTGTGTTTTTCTATGTTGCATTTGCAAATTTGTTTACAAATAGTGGTTTCAGGAAAATTGTGATTTCAATAATTTCCTTGCTTCTTTTGTGTTTCTAGCACAATCCTTGGGATAAGTTATTTATGAATTTTGTGAAGCAGGTCGTACTTAGTGTTCATCTTTCATATTATGCATATTATGGTGGGGAGGCATTTTCTTTCTGGTCCTTTTTTCTCCTTATCCCATATTAGGTTTGTTTATTGAATGTTTGAAGATTTAACAGTGAAACTAATGTTTTGAAGAAGACATCAAGTAATTAGAGTTCTATTGAAGATGATGTTAATGGTAGTGAAGATTGGAAGGAAGTTGGATTCTAATACATAGAAGATGTTCCAAGTCTTGAAGAATTTCAAGTCATCTTAAATCTGACACATGCAAGGTCAGCAGCCAAGTGCTTGCTTTATTATCACAGACCTTCCATATTGCAAGGGATATGATGGGCAGTTTTATTAGAGAAGGTTTATGGCAGGCTAAGTACCTGACCTGATTCTTAGTGACTTTACATTTACCTTTTTTTAATAACTTTTTTCCTTTTCCTTTTCTTGGTACAACAATTTTGCAGAGAACCACGTGGTTTCGGTTTTGTTCAATATGTAGATCCTGCCGATGCTGCTGATGCTAAACACCAGATGGATGGCTGTGTTCTTCTTGGTAGGGAGTTGACTGTGGTATTTGCTGAGGAAAACAGGAAGAAACCATCTGATATGAGGGCAAGGGAGAGAGGAAGGTATAAAGTTGCTGCCTATTATTTTTGCTATTCTTAGTAGACATGGTTTTTATAATCAACTGTCAGTTAATGTAATGCATTTGCCTTTGCATGCATTTTCGAGCATGATGCATATAGGAGTTTGGGATGGTTTTTGAAAAAAGTGCTTTTTAAGTGAAAGTACTTCTAGAAGTACTAATTAAGTATTTCTCTCAACTGCTTAAGTATTATTTACCAACCTTGATATTATTTACCTTTCTAAAGGTCAGTAGTTCAAAACTTCACCCTTGTTTTTTTTTTTTTTTTAATCTAAAAACATGTTTCTTCCAGCGTAGGTGTTTTTTTAGTATTTTTAAAAATTTCATAATCACTTAATTTTATTGTCCAGTCAAACACTATGAAACTTGCTTTTGATGGTCTAAAAGAACTTTTTACCCTTTTAAGAGACATCCCAAACTCAAATTTAGTATTGCATCTCTTAAACGAAATTAATATTTCAGTCGCACAAACAGTGGACGATTTCATGATCGAAGAAGGTCTCCTCCACGATATTCTCGTTCGCCTCGTTACTCTCGTTCCCCGGCTCCACGCCATGCAAGGTATTCTCGTTCACCAGCTCCACGCCATGCAAGGTCTAGGTCCCGTAGTTATGATTACACTTCCCCACCACCAAAACAAAGGGCATGCTCTAGGTATTCTTTCAATCTATTGACTATTTGATCCGTAATTCTAGACTTAGTACTTGATGTCTTTGATTCCCTAGGTGAACTGTTTTTTGAGCTACAAGTCTTTCTATATGTTGGATGCAGGTCGGTGTCCCCCCGTGACAGACGGGACAGTCGAGAGAGGTCATACCCTCGGCAGCCTAGCCGAGGTAGGTCATACTCCCAGTCTCCACGTCTCAATGGTTCAAGAAGTAGAAGCCAGAGTCCAGCGAGGGGCGGTAGCCGAAGTCAGAGTCCAGCGAGAGGCCGAAGTCGGAGCAGAAGTGTCAGCCGGAGCAGAAGTCCACGACGAAGTCCGAGGCATGAAGAAGAGTACAGAAGTGATCCAAATGGAGATAGGAGCCCTAGTCAGTAACCAACCCGCTAGAAACTTGGAAAGAAACAACTACAATGTACTATTGCCCCGCTTTAGGCTTCTCTCCCTTTGTATTGTTGAGTAGTGTCTGTTTGATGTTCTTAGGATTTTATGGCTTATCAAATTAATTGTTGAGTACTTTTTTTGCTTTCTTTCATGATGTGATGATGCATTGCTCTTAAATAATGTTTTCTTTTTGGAATATTGTTTCACAGTTGAAGGTGGGGATTCAAGGTATAGATTTCTTAGCCAATTTAGGTAGAAAATTTTTCATTTTAACACTGCAATACATCACAAATAAGTTTCTATCTTTTACATTGATATTTGGAGTAATGCGATTTTGTTGAATTATATTTTTGATTATGGAATATTTGGAGTCACTTTTAGTAAAGAGATATCTTTCTGAGGTACAACATTTATTTTATCTAAACACAAAATTATAATGTTATATCTGAATGAAAAATATTAAAATGTGGGTTTTTTCTAAGAATAATTCATATTGAAAAATAGTACTAACTTTAGTAAATAATGATTTCAAATTTGTATCTTATTTCTAAAATTTAATCAAATATTTAAGAATATTCAAATAAGCCCGTGTCAAATTCACAGTCGTTATTTTTGAGTTCATTTCAATATATATGATATATATATTTTTCGATGAAACAAAAATATGAAAATAAATATTTCTCACCGAAGGCGGTAATTGGTTACAGCGAAGCATGTGGGGGCACGTGCAACTTTTCTCATGTGTGAAGTGGGGTCCACCTTCTCGTCCATGAATATTTCTTGGATTCTATTCCTGGGCCCTCCTTCGAGAACCATTATCATTTTTAAAATAATTATATAATAATAAGCAACTGAGTTTCCATGTAAATACTATTTTATCAAAATTTGCAATTTTTTTATCTCCTTATAATATCCTATTTAATCTTTTTGGATATTCCATTTAAAAATTCTTTCCTTGTACCAACTTAAACTACCAACACAAACCCAATTCATTGATAATTGGCATACGTCTTTCAACATTAATTATTACAAACGAGTTATTTATAATAAATATTAGTAACTTTTTAAATCCAAAATCAAAGTAAAGAAAAGGAAAAGAAAATAGCATATGTTTGGTTACAACACCAATCACCTAGATGGTCCCTTAACCAAATTTGGGACACATCTGTTTCTTCGAGTGTGACTGGCTAATTTATAGGCAACATTGTTTCTTCGAGTGTGACTGGCTAATTTATAGGCAACGAAGTTACAAATGTGTGAAATGTAGAGAAAGCCTTTAACGCGACATGCCTATATTTGTCTTCGAGGTCATGGATAAACATTTATTGTTCATCACAAACTAGAAATTTTCAAAGGATCAAAGAATCGACCTCTAGCTGCAATGCATGAAGATCAGCTTCACGAGCCTTCTAGATGCCTTCTAAATCCAATAGTTATCCGAGAGGGAAATTTTCAACACTACAATGGTGTAACATTATTTAAGAAGTATCAGAATTCAACCACATTAAAGAATCATCTAAAAAATTCATACCTTAAAATTTAAAGCGTAAACCGAAGAAAGTAGGATTTGGAAAAATCTCTTGCAAATGAAGCGAGAAAAAAGAACTCCAGAGTAGTCTCATCGACATCAATGTCTGTTCCACTCAGAATCAGCTTCCATTTAATAACATTACTCCCACACGGCGCCATGACCACGAGCCCATGACCTTTCGCTATTCGAATCTTCGTCCCAAATGACTTTTGGGTTAAAATTGAAGAAAAACCAACAGCCCAGTCCCCACTCTTCCACTCTTCTCTCCCTCAAATTTCAAACGAAATGAATGAAAAACAAAAACCCATCAAAACAAAATGGACGGCGACGATCACGACTCCTCTGCACGAGAATCCATGCCCCTTTGCTGGCCAAAAAGAGGGAAAGAAAAAAAGGCAGACAATAAAGTTCGAAATTTGCTAAGACATCTTTTTTGTTTTTACACCTTCAGTCGATATTCTTTTCCATTCTAGCTGCAATTTCACGAGCTGAGTCCTGTTTAGTACAAAATGTATACGTTGGGAAATGGTGGGGTATGGTTTTTTGGGATTGTTAATTTTTATTTTCTAAAATATTGATTTCTCTCCCTCTCTGGAGTCTGGGGGAGTTTGGTTTTTTGCCTCTTGCTGCTGAGGCTGTTACTGTTGCGAATCTCTCTGCACTTCTAAGGAACTTCCATTAATCTGTGTACATTTTAGTTCTTTGCTCTCTCTTTAGGGTTTTGTTTCTGTTCTGAAGCTGACTGAAGACTGTTGGAATCGCTTTGTTCTGCTGTATTTTTCAGATCGGGTATTTGCCCACTTCATGTTTTTCGTTTTCCCAGCTGGGTTCTCTGTTATTTCGTGTTTTATGACTGTTTTTTTTTGGTGTTCAAGATTTCTCAAGTTTGGCTTTCCAATAGCTGTTCTTAGTTTGCAGTCATAGAAAGAAGAAAAAGGGGTTTCTCTTTTCGAAACTCTGTGGAAGTTAAGCTACAGTAAGTTTGAAATTCTTCAATTTTTCTCTGAGATGGGGATTGAGAGAGAGAGTCTCATTTGTAAGCTAAGCTACAGCGTGTTTGTTAATACTTGGTCTGGATATTTATGGCTTTATTACATTTGTTGTCTCCTGTCAGAGGATCTGCAGAAAGAAGCTTGTTTTGTAATGCTTTTGAGTGGGGAAATTCTTTTTTCTCCTCAAACTCTTAACATTTTTTGTGCATTTCCATTTCCCTCCTTTATAATTTAAAATTTCTGCTGAACCCATGGAACAAAAAATGGATAAGATGTTTGCTAATTCCTAGCTGAAGTGAGGTAGTGATTCGCTATTTTGCAAAGTTAATACCTTATCTTTGAGTGAATTATGTCTTCTAGTCCTTTTTTCTTCATGCATTCAATCACTTTTACATGTTTCTCTAGTTGGTTTTTACTTTTGTTTTCCCTTTTATATGAATTGATTGCAGATTGCATGTTCTCGCTTGTTTGAGTTTTGAGAGTTTGATTCTCGAGAGTCTCGAGACGCAGAGGAAGTAGAGGGCAGCCAAATTCTTACCACCAAGCTGAAAACTTGAAGTTTCGATTGCTTCTACAATGCGGGAGAGTTGTCATGGGACTGTGATCTTGCTTCTCTTTGGCATGTGTATCAATGCATTAGGTATCTTAGTTGTCTAACTTCGAGTTCATTTAAACCCTTCGTAGTTCTCATTCTAAATCCGGTTTGCTTGGAATATTTATAAGATTTCAAACACGCTTGGGGCTTTGTGGAGTATTTTTGAACAGTCATGGACTTTACTTTTATGATCTTGATTGGTGGTTGTGAGAATAAGCAGCAAAGCAAGGGCTTCATAGATGTTAATCAAATGGCCTCTTCAATGGCGTTATGCAACCAACCTCCATTAGTTACTTTTGATTCTTTTCCTAATGAAAAAGGGTTACTAAGTTGTGTTTTTGACAATAATAGGTGCATTTGTGGGGGTTAATCTCGGGACCGATGTCTCCAAGCTTCCATCAGCTTCAGATACAGTTGCAATTCTTAAATCCCATCAAATTACTCATCTCCGCCTTTATAATGCTGATGCTCAATTGCTAAAGGCCCTAGCAAACAGTAGCATCGAAGTAATTGTTGGCGTCACAAATGAGGAAGTTCTCAGGATTGGTGAATCTCCAGCAGTGGCTGCAGCTTGGGTTAACAAAAATGTTGCTGCTTACTTGCCAGCAACGAATATTACAGCCATTGCTGTTGGCAGTGAGGTCCTTACAGCAATTCCTCATGTTGGCCCAGTCTTAGTTCCGGCCATGTATTCCATACATAAAGCCTTAGTTGCTGCCAACCTAAACTCTATGATCAAAGTTTCCACTCCCCAATCAATGGACATAATACCCCGAGCTTTTCCCCCGTCCACCGCTACCTTTAATGCTTCGTGGAACTCTACAATCTATCAGCTCCTTCAGTTTTTAAATAACACGAAGTCCTACTACATGTTGAATGCCTATCCTTATTACGGTTACACTAGTGGGAATGGAATTTTTCCGCTTGATTATGCACTTTTTCGATCACTTCCTGCAATTAAGCAGATTGTTGATCCGAACACTCTTTTCCACTATAATAGTATGTTTGATGCTATGGTTGATGCAACCTATTACTCAATCGATGCTTTCAATTTTTCCGGGATTCCCGTTGTGGTTACTGAGACTGGTTGGCCATGGTTTGGTGGAGGAAATGAACCTGATGCAACAATTCAAAATGCTGGCACCTACTGTAACAATCTGATCAGGAGAGTCACCAACGATTCAGGTCCACCCAGTCAGCCAACTATACCAATCAACACGTATCTGTATGAGTTGTTTAACGAAGATAAGAAGCCTGGCCCGGTCTCGGAAAAGAACTGGGGTATACTTTTCCCCAATGGCTCTGCTGTTTATCCTTTGGGTGTGACTTCCGGCCGTGCCACAGCAAATTCTTCTGCAGTTTATTGTGTGGCAAAAGACGGTGCCGATGAAGATAAATTGCAAGATGGCCTGAATTGGGCGTGTGGACAAGGAGGAGCAAACTGTGTTGCCATTCAGCCGGGGAGGCCATGCTATCTTCCGAATAACCTTACTAACCATGCTTCTTATGCATTTAATGATTATTATCAGAAAATGCATAGTGCTGGTGGAACATGCGACTTTGACGGTACCGCTATGATTACGACGATCGATCCCAGTAAGTTCTTCTTACTGTTTTTCTCCTTGTTCCTTAGATTCAATAAGCAGATGAGATTGTTCTACTTTATCAGTTATTTACGAGCCTTTTATATCAAATATCTACCAAAATAACTATGTATTGTAGTTTAGAACTTTTCTATTTATTGTTTAATGTCCTGCAAAAGGATGCTCATGCAAACTCCTATTGCTAACCCAGTTTTGAACTTAGGAATCATTTCCGTGGGGAAGAAAAAGGAGAATTTTCCTTGATGAAGCAAAAACTCTCTGGACCAAATTATTTTTTTGGCTGTAACTTGGTTTATACTTAACAATTCTTTCTGGAGTTACAGCCTTACTTCCTTTATACTAGTTAGAGTTGGAGCTCCCTTTTGCAATTTCCATTCATTTGGGTGACTTTTTTTTCCCCTTCCCTTTTCTGTAAATTTCATTCCACTAATGAAGTTGCTTCTAAAATTCATGGATATAGACTTATTAGACACAAAAGAGAAGAGACTTATTGGACACAAAAGAGAAGAGACTTATTGGACACAAAATCCACTTTTGTGTAAAATAGGTTCGTGAATTAAAAAAAGAAATAAGAAGTTTGATCGGGAATAAACTTACTGGACTCAGAATTGAAAGTTTAAGGATTTATTAGACAATTTTTAAAGTTGAAGGATCTATTAGTCACGACTTTAAAAGTTTAGAGACTTAACACTTTCTATAGGTTTATATATATATTTGAAACAAAGTATTTATTGATCTATCAAAAAGGGAGACAACCTAAGGGCGGAGGGTCGATGATACCCTACCCCACAAAACTAGACAATGGCGGCCTTCCAATTTCTAACTATCATGTGCAGACTATAATTACAAAAGAATTTCTTGTGATTTATGGACCACTGCAAAGCAAAATGCTGTACATTGCTACAAAAAATCTCCTCAAGGGACTTCTTGTCTTCAAAAAGCCTACTATTCCTTTCCTTCCAGATCAACCATAGGACTGCCCTCCCAGCACAACTCCACATAACATAAACTTTGCCTTTAAGCCAGTCTCCCCAAAATTCTCAAGAAACAGATCGTCAATCCTCCTAGGAAGGAATAACGAAATACCAAACTCCGTACGAACAAACGCCCAAGCCGAAGTAGCAAAAAAACAATGAAGAAAGAGGTGGTCAATCGTTTCTGCCGAGCATTTACAAAGCCCGCACTTTTTACAGTTCAAGGATTTAATAGACCAACTTTAGAAGTTCTGGGCTTGGATTTGGAATTTACCAAAAATGTTCTATGGCTTCTGTCCAACCAACTACAAAAAGTACTTCAGCCTTTACCCTCGAGCAATGACCACAAGAAGTTTTTTTTTTGATATCCTTAACTGTATGAGAAAAACAACGATCAATCCAACCAACAATTAAGGGAGAACGGGCTTGATCTTCCAAGGTGCTTCTTATAAACATAAGCTCTCTTCTGTTTCTCTTGATTTATTTTCTAGTTTTGTGCTTGTCCTATTTTTTGGTATTAAGAATCTGATATCTTTGCTTAATTTGATTTATACAGCCTGTATTTGTGGGTATGTCTGCTAGTATATATCGTATACGAGTTTCATCTACAATTCTGTTTTTATACCTTGCTAGGGGACTAGTTTTCTTATTTAAGAAATAAACTTCTGCTCAATTTTGTTTGTAATGGCTGCTTGAACAACCCCATCAGAGATCGACTGTCGGGTTTGTTCGGAATTAAACTTTAACAGGAACTTTTTCCCTTTAGATCAAATTTATCTCATTTGATTTCCCCATCTTTTGCAGGTCATGGGTCTTGCATATACTCAGGAAGGTAAGTGGAAGATTGTAACTGTCTCGATAATTTAGACCCTATTTGATAATTATTTTGCTTTTGGGTTTTTATGGTGGAGAATTAAGCTTATTCTTTAAA